GTTGAGGCGAAGGGAAGTGAAACCCAAGTCACCAGCTCCTGGCCTGCTCAGACTTCTCTTGGGCTAGAGTCTTGCCTGGATTTCAGAACCCCAGCGTCTTCCAGTCACACAGGAATGGCTTAGGGTTCTAGGAAGAGGGCAGGCATGTTTAAAATACACATGCATTGATTTTTGAGTATTTTGTTTGAAATGAGAGGGAGAGGAAGGAAGAGGGAGAGGGAGAGGGAGAGAGAGGGAGAGGGAAAGAGCGAGGGAGAGAGAGGGAGAGAGAGACAGACAGAGACAGAGAGACAGAGCAGAAAGCAAAATAACCCCCTATCCCTACTTCCTGCCACCTAGGGTTTTCTACCTGGATAATTCCACATTCTGAAGCCAGTACAGCAGGTTGGCATATTCTGTGCCTGATGGGCAGATACACTCACTTCACCTGTGGCAGCAAGCACACTTGGCCCTCTTGGGGCCCTTTGTGTCAGAAATACAAAAACTTTGTTAGCAATCAGCCTTGGATTAAGAGAATCCGAAATGGGAAACTGTCCTGGCTCAGGGTCCTATCTGAGCTGAAAATGAGAGGAAGTGGAGGAAGTGGGGTGGGGGTGGGGTGCAGAGGAAGCCCGGGCTAAGCTGGCAGTGCTCACAGCTCCAGCTCCCCCGGATGCGTCACCCTCCAGCAGCAGATCAAGTTCTGCGCTCTGGACAGTGGTTTTAGGGACACATCTTGTTACCTGTCACTAAAGGCTCATATCTCCCATAACATATGGACATTAAGTTCTGCCAATAAATCTGTGAGGCAGTGAAAGACTGTCTGTAGACTCAGCGACATGCAGAAAGTTATGGGGATTTTCAAAGTCCTCACACTGAGAGCGACTGGGACATGCCTCCATTCTCGTTTGGTCTCAGAAAGACACATACAGCACCATCTCCTGGGAAATGGCGTTAGCTCTCGGTGGGTGCCACCCTGCATGTCCCCGGTGTCTCTGCCCACCTGACTCTTACCGTGCACACAAGCCCGAAGCCGCTGGTGCTGCCTGTCTGAGATGATTTAAAACAAAAGATAATTTTTTGTGAACTTTGAATCCCTGAATTGCTAAAAACCTGTTTACGAACAGACACACAGATGGTGGTGTCTCGGGCTCAAACAACAAGTCTTCCTGCAGCACAGTCCCTGAAACAGGGTTTGCAGATGATGAATTCCTGTATGCGGGAACAATTTCCTGTAAATCAATGTTCCTTACTTTAGATTTCAACTTAATGCCACCCCCGTCCCCACCCTTGAAAAACAAATGGCAGATAAATTGCTTATGATGTTCCCAGGAAAGGGCCATGTGCTGCTGGGGGTGAGTTATTTAGACTCTCATTCATTTTTTTATTGGAATCCTGTATTTATGGATGATGTGCCAATTAAACTAACAGAGCAGAATACATCTGGCTACCTGTGTGATAGCAGATGACCGGGGGCTTGTTCTTCAGGCATGTTCTCTGCAGGATGCCTCCTGGTCAACGGATCACAGCAGATGGGGGCATTGCTATGGCATGGCTTTGTTTCTCCAGTTGTGGACATTCTCAGAGCTGTTTCAGCTGCTAGGGAGGAGAAGAATCAGGCTGCCCATTGCAGCTGAGGACAAGCAGGGCGGAGCCAGCTGACAAGAAGCCTTCTCAGCTCCAGCTGCAGTAACAGAAGCACAGAACGGAAGTGACTCCTTTTTCAAATGTATTAAAACACCTTCCAGTGAGAATTTACGAAATTGCTGTATGATCATACTCATCTTTTCAAACAGATATGGGCAAACCCACTCACTCCTCCTTTACTTTTCTGCTTGCATATGAGTGTGGTGTGCATGTATGTGGGCACATGTATGTCTGCAGGTGCACCTGTACATCTGTGCATGTTGAGGCCAGAGGTTGACAGTGGTTGTCTCCTTCAATTGCTCTTCAAATTGTAGACGGGGGCATGGTCTCTCACTCTGGCCCAGAGTTTGCCCATTCAACTAGCCTAGGTAGCCAGCTTGCTTGGTGGATCCATTGTCTCTTCTTGCTAATCACCTGAGCATGGAGGACTACGTCTTTCGTCCCAATACTCAGGAGGCAGAGGCAGAGGCAGAGGCAGAGGCAGAGGCAGAGGCAGAGGCAGAGGCAGAGGCAGAGGCAGAGGCAGAGGCAGAGGCAGAGGCAGAGGCAGAGGCAGAGGCAGAGGCAGAGGCAGAGGCAGAGGCAGAGGCAGAGGCAGAGGCAGAAGGTATCTCTGTGAGTTTGAGGCCAGCCTGTTATACATAGTGAGTTCCGCCACAGCCAGGGCTATATGGTGAGACTTTGTCATAACAAATGATTACAAAAACTAAATAAATGGAGATACATACTATGCTCATATTTAGTTGCCATTTTTTGGGGTCACCACTAAGCTCCCAAATAAAGACATAGAGACTTATTATTAATTATGAATACTAAGCCTTACCTTAGGCTTGTCCCACTAGCCTTTTTTTTTTAACTTAATTTAACTTGTTTCTACTCATCTACATTTTGCCTTGGGGCTTTTTTTTTTTGTCTGTTTTTCATTCTGTATGTCCTATTTTCCTGCTTCCTCTGTGTCTGTTTGGCTGGCTCCTGGGATCTCCCTGGAATCTCTTTTTCTTTCTTCTCCCCAACCGAAATTCCTCCTCCTATTTACTTTCCCTGCCCAGAAGTCCCACCTATACCTCCTCCCTCACAACTGGCCATTCAGCTTTTTATTAGACCACTCAGATGCCTTAGGCAGGCAAGGTAAAACAGCAACACATCTTTACATAATTAAATAAATGCAACACATCTTTACATAGTTAAAAAAATGCAACACATCTTTACATAGTAAAAAAAATATTCCACAACATTCACATTCAGAGATTGGAAATTTTGGTATAGTAAAGATGTCTGTACTCCGTAAATTGGTCAATAGGTCAATGTAATTACTTCTAAAATAGTGGCAAAGCTTTTAGACAACCTTTTTTTATAAAGTTTGCATATAAAAATGCAAACATTAGCTGGGCAGTGGTGGTACATGCCTTTAATCCCAGCACTCGGGATCTCTGTGAGTTTGAGGCCAACCTGGTCTACAATGTGAGTTCCAGGACAGCTGAAACACAGTTGTTACACAGAGAAACCTTGTCTCAGATTAAAAACAAAAACAAAAACAAAAAACCAAAGATGCAAACATTAGAGTAGTTAAAAGAATCCTGACATAGAATAGTAATATAGAAGAACGATAGAGTTCTTCAGTAAGCACGATTGTGTCAACTGGAAACAGAAATATAACCAGTGTGATGGGGCAGAGACCCTAGAAGCATGTCAACATAAACAAGTTCTTTAGTATGTGATAAAGTAAAATAATGAGAGTGTCTTTTCAACAGGTGATGCCAGGGTAACTTGATATCTACAGGTTAAATAAAAGTCAGATCTTAAATTAAAGCTCATATCTGCAACAAACATGAACTTCAAGTGGACCATTGATTTAAAACTCAGTGATTAAGAAAGAGACAACTAAAACAGAGTGGAGTGTTGTCACACTCCACTGAATATCTAGAAATAAAGTAGGGACAGCACCAGAGCACAGAGGTGGAAGTGAACCACTCAGACACTTCTGGTGGGAATGGACAGCTACTTTGGAAAAGTGTGGAAGTTTCTTATAAAATGAGACATCTAGTCATCATTCGGACCTGACAGTTACAACCTTTCTCACTCACCCCCAGAGGAATAGAAACCTGTGTTCACATCCATGATATAAGTATACATAATACATGATATAAGTATCATCTTTAGAAAGAACAGTATAGAAGCGGAAACAAGTCAATCATCCCTCAATAGGTGAGAGGTTAACCATATTGTCTTACATGCACACTATAGATTACTATTTAGCCAATGAAAGAAAGTACCTTGAGTCATACAGTGTAGATGACTGTCGGTGGGGTTATCCTGATTGAATATTTCCCTCCATGTGTGGCCTCATCCTGCTGTCCTTCCTAAGTGCTTTCTCGCCATTCCATTAATTGCTGTAGCTCTCATCTACCTGCCTTCTTACCATCAGACCTTTGTAATTATACCAGACCTGACCAGACAATCTGGGGTGTTCTTTCCCCCTTCAGATTCTTACTTCCATCTGCAGAGTATCTTTTGCCATGTAGTCTAATGTACTGGGGGTATGGAATTGGTGTTATTACATGGGTCTTTGTTGCACCTTTACTCAGTATATCACAATGCTTCTTTTTCCATTGATAAACATATTATGGATACAAATTATGGAAATGGAGAACAGATTAGTGGTAATAGGAGTGTACTTTGGATGGAATTCTGAGGAAGAATAGGAGAAACTGAGCAGAGACAGAAGGAAATGAAGATTTCCATCAGCAATATTTTTTAGACAATTAAGTAACACTAGATTTTATTTGTTGTGAGGAAGTAATAGACTAAGGAAATTTAATTTACATTAATGTCTCATTAATATCTAATATTTAATTTATGTTTGATAATTAATGTTGATAATTAATATCAAAATCAAATGATAATTTGATAAAATTATAATAATTTAATTTATTATATTTGATAAAAGTCACTTTGGACCATGGTGACTGGGGTTCTTTGGATGGGAGCTGCTTGTAAAAAGTATCTGGGTGGGAGTCTGTAGAGGTGCATGACTCTGACAAGGTCTTTTTTGCATCTCCAGTGAAAGACAGTTTCATGGGCAGAAGTGAGAAAAAGCCTTTGAGTAGATCCCATGCCAGTTGATGGTCATACACTGTTGAGAAGTGTTCTTCTGTTTCTTGGCCCTCTGGGAGTGGAATGTATTAGCTTTCTCCCACTGTAGTAAAGTATCTGAGCCTACCAACTTAAAAAGGGAAAGGGGATATTTTGGCTGGCTGTTCAGGTTCATGATCATCCAAGTTCATTGCTTTTATACCTGTGGCAAGGCAGTGCTTCACGATGAAGGTGTGTGGAGAGCAAATCACTCACCTGATGGTGAAGGGAAGGAAGGAGAATCAGGGTCTCAAGATCCTCTTCAAGGGCCTCTCAGGAGGCTCTCCTTCCTGAAGGTCCCACTGCCTACCAATAGCTGCATTCTGAAGACCACACATGAGCTTTTGCGAGCCTTGAGATCCAAGCTGTTGCTGGGAGGAATGGTCTCCCCAATGTGAAGTGGGCTTCCCAGTGGCTATCAGGTGTGGGCACTTGGCATCTTAGAGAGCAGCTGTTTCTAGGAGACAGGAAGACAGCTGTCAGTTCTAGTCCTTTCGGACATGTGGCTGATCTGATCCGCAAACATCCAATTCTCTGCCCTTATAGCAATCCACTCCACTCCCTTTACTTTCTCATACCTTTATTGAAGCTGAATTAACAACCTGGTCCTGAAAAACTCCAGGCCACAACCTCTCAAACCTTCATGACTACACCATTTGATTTTCTACATGATTCTCTTGGATCTGATGTCTACATCTTCAGACACAGACCGTATTGAACATACACATCACACCCCAATCACAACATACTAGACTGAAGGGTGAACCATTAATCAGAGAGCTAAAGACGGCAAAGAATTTGGTGCTTTCTGAGTATGCTTACAATTTCCTACAGGTGAGCAATCCACACAATACAGTACTTAGGAGTCTAACACTGTTCTCCCCAGGAGATTAAGAAACATTTGAGGAACTATGCCAACATTACTCTCCCATACTTGGCTTCTCATGCCAAAGGAAAAGGCCAAGGTTGTCCCTCTCCTGCTCATTGTTCACTTTTCTTGGGCAAATCACAGACTTTCCTTTGGCCTAAGAAACTTACCGAAATATCATCACCCGGTCTCACTTCCCCACCACCTGGGTACGAGATACTGCTGATTGAAAGCAGTGAACACGACTGTGGTCTGATTGCTAGTGAATGCAAAGATTGTGTCCCACCCACCTGGCCCTTTTACTAGAGGATTAATGTGTTGAACTGAGGAGGGAGATCCTATGTCAATGATCAGATTTACCAGAAACTCCATAATTCATTTCTCCCTGGAGACCTTTAGTTGGTAGGCATTCTGTTGTTCTGGTGTTTAATCCCCATTGGTTATAAAGGTGGAGAATTAAATGGGTTCTAAGTGACAACGCAAAGCCTCCACTGTCCTCATTCAAGCTTCTTATGGGCAGGAAATGGCTGGGTTCAGTATCACAGGGTCCGTATCCCTCCTCTACAGTTCCTTGCCGTGGGCATGTGCTTACATTCCCAAGAGCTTTCCCAATGTCTCTGCCAGACTTCCTTCACAAATGTCTTGTCCACTTTGGAACAGCCATGTGAGATGTGTCAGGGACACCAATTGAATGTATACAAAATCACTCTTTGGGTAGAAATGCCTCAAGTGTACAATATTACATGCTTGGTGGAACATGCTTTGAAAACTGATAATGGCACCTCTCTGGGACTCGGGTTGACATGAGGCACAGGGTGATGTCTGTCCTGGAAGACATGCAGCACCAGCTGAGAGCATCAATTCCTAGGCAGTCACAAGATGCACTTAGTTGTCCTCACACTCATCTTTGCCCAGATGTTCCGTGTGTACACACACACACACACACACACACACACACACACACACACACACACACTTGCTTCCAGTGCCCCCACACACCCAGCAACTTCCCACTTTCCATTTTCTCTGTTATTTTGTCTCCATCGAACTCATTCACCAACTTGAATTCTAAACCTTAGTTTCTAATAGCAGATGCTCTCTACTGTCAACACCCAATTCCAGTTGCTCCTCCTTGTCCACGCAGCAAACGTTGATCATTTAGAACTGAGCAATTTGCTTCCTAGGTTTTTCCGCACATGTTGGCGAGTAAACCAGCATGCTTTGCCCGGGGTTCAGAGACCTTTGAGAGACACAGACAATAAATTGGAAGCAAACCCATGAGTGAGAAAGAATGGGCAAAGTGGGAGAGTAATAGATAGAATCCACGTAAAGAAGAAAAAGACATTTAAATAAAAATCTGAAAAATGAAGGGAGGGGGGTATCCTTTGGAAATGAGACTGGGCACCTGGCAGAGGGGACAGCCTGTGTGGGCTTTGGCACATCCTTGTAAAAGTTTACTATGGCTATGTGGGGGAAATCCCTGGGGAAAGATGGAAGAACAAGTATGGCACTCAGAAGAAAGCTGTGGGAATAGTCCAACATGGACGGCCCCAGCAGAGGTGGAAAGTGGAAAGAAGTGAAGACATGAAGCAGGGCTTTCTCTGGGAAGGACAGAAACAAACAACCAAGAAAGGGCCATTCCCAGGATTCTGCCTTAAGAGTTGGGAAGAAAGGATTTCCAGTGACGTTAGGGCCCTGCCTGCCTCCTCCCAGCTGTTAACAGGTTTGAGCTGGAATGTGCTCTCTGGGTGCATATTGTGGGAATGTGGTCCTTCCTTTGCCGTGCTGTTCTGCAGGCTGTGGAGGCCTAGGGTCAGATTGGCAGAGTGGGTTAGAAGGGGCAGGCTTTGAAGGTTATGTTTGTCCTTGTTCTAATCTGCCTTTCTCTGCTGTCTGTCTGCAACCATACACAGGCCACGGCCTTGTAGTCCAGGCATGACGATGCTCCAGTGGGCTTTCCTTACCAAGATAGCCTGGTATCCCTCGACACCAGAAGCCAAACAAGTCTTTCTTCCCTTCCGGGGTTTTGTCAGATATTTTGGTCACCGTCCTGTGGAAAGTAAGTCACACATTAACCTAGTGCCAATCACCCAATGAAAGCCCAAAAAGCATTTTTTTAATGGTACAGTTCACTTTATCTTTATTCACTTATTATTTTGAGACATGGTCTCACTGTGTAGCCCCAGCAGGTCTGGAACTCATTATGTAGGTCAGGCTGATCTTGAATTCAAAAATCCGACTCCCTGTGCCTCCCAGTGCCTCCCAAGTTCAAGGATGAAAGCTAAGGGTCACTGTGCCCAGATACGGTTTACTTTATATCCACCTATTTGATGGAAAGTTACATACTATCTTGTGACATTTCTTTTTTTTTTTAAATCAAAGATACTAGATGTCTCATCAGATAACTAGTGAACGTGTATAGTAAATCTTCATTCATGTAATATTCTACTCCTGGTTAAATAGACACGTATTATCTAGGGTAATAGTAACTTGGCATTCATTCCTAAAGAATCAATATTGCTGTGGCCATGTTCCTTACTCATATTATAGCCCAGAAAAAGAGCGGGAGATCCGCCCTCTAGAGAAGCACCAAGGCTACACTGGAGCCATGGGTCTGGAACGTAGGAGCAAACTGACAAGGGGAATTCTGGGTAGACCACATGTTGCACAGCTAATGAGAGGCAGAGGCAGAGGAATCTGAACTCGCTTGTCAAGGTTGAGATGAGAGTAGGTAAGTTGTAAAAGGAGAAGCCCAGCGAGCTCACTTCCTGTTTCCTGTGGTTTAGATTGCGTGGATGTAGCTCTCAGGTCAGAATACACAAATGAGTGTAACTCCAATCCAGCAGTTCTCAACATGTGGGTCACATATCAGATATCCTGCATATCAGATATTTACATTACAATTTATAACAGCAGCAAATTTACAGTTATGAAGTAGCAATGAAATAATGTTATGGCTGGGGGTCACCACAACATGAGGAACTATATTAATGGGTCACAGCATTAGGAAGGTTGAGAACCACTGTGGGGCTCTGAGAGTCTCTGGGTGACGGGTGGGTGTGAACATGACTCAGCTGGAGAGTGTTCCAAGAACCTCCCTTTTGAGATCAGTCCTGGTCCTGGGATGTTTAAGCAAAAATGTTCAGAAGGCCCCTACTTGATGTGCTGGTATAGGTGAGAGGAGTGAGAAAACCCAGCGGCACATCTTCATTGTTTAGCAGGGGACTCTTTTGTTAAAGAAAAGACAGCCTTGAGGATGGATTTTTCTTTGGGCCGCCAGCTCACAAAAAAACAACGTGGAGATTTATTATTAATTATGAATGCTCGGCCTATATTTTAGGCTTGTCCCACTAGCTCTTATAACTTAAATTAACCCATTTACATTAATCTACATTTTGCTTCGTGGCTTTTTCCCTCCCTTCCATCTTGCAGCTCCTGTTTCCTCTCCGTGTCATCTGTCATCCTCTCCTCCAAGACCTCTCTGTCTCCAGAAGTCCTGCCTAAGCTCTTCCTGCCTAGCTATTGACCATTCAGCTCTTTATTAAACCAATTACAGTGATACATCTTCACAGTGTAAAGGAATGTTCCACAACACAGTCTGGGCTGGAGGTTAATTCAGTGGTAGAGCCATTGTTTTGCATGCAAGAGACTCTAGGTTCGATCCCCAGTACTAAGAGTAATGATTATGTAATAATGATAATGATAATAAAAGAAAAGAAAACAACTAGTCTTTGTATAAATGCTTCTATTGTAAAAACATGTGCAAAAAAATTGTGAAATCAACTTAGCGGTTTAAGCTTCTGTTGTGACTAACACAGCAAAGCAGCAAACAGAGGCTATTCAGTTTTTCCACTTTGAGGAAAAAGAAAACACAATCTCTCCAACCCGTAATTGGAGCACATGATCCCGAGCTTGTTTCTGGACCAGAGGAGTGGTCTGGTTGAGATGCTGTTGGCCATCAGAGAGAGTGCTGCAGTCTGGTCCCTTAATTACTGCAGCTGAATCATCTCACTGGGGGAAAAGAAAGAACAGAAAATCCAGTGACTCCAATTAGCTGCAGCATGGCTCTTTGAGGAAGCCACAGATTTGGGACACAAGCATTGGTTGGCTTTGCCACTCGGGCAGCACCGGCAGTTTGTGTCACTGATTCCAGCCACTGCCCTTTGCTGTCTGTCTGGAGTGGAACGGAAGACATGTTCTCCTTGACTTCTCAAGGTAAATATCACAGAGGAAAAGCAGACACTGGGAGTGGGGAATCCGGATCAAGACACCACTACCTACTGTTGTCTGTGTGGAGGAGCAAGCTTCTAGACCAGCAGTTCTCAGCCTGTGGGTCAAGATCCCTTTGGGAGTCTGAGACTCTTTCTCGGGGTCACCTAAGATCATCAAAAACACAGAGATTTACATAACAGTAGCAAAATTACAGTTATGAAGTAGCAACAAAAATAATTTTATGGTTGTGGTCACCACAACCTGGGGAACTATATTATTAAAGAGTCACAGCATTAGGAAGGTTGAGACCCACGGCTGTAGAAGGAGGTACTTCCTTTTTACAGTAGCAGTTTACTGCACATGTACACACACACACACACACACACACACACTGCCTTCTTTCAGGTCTTTGCTTCCCCTCAGTGACACTCAGACTGGCTGCTTAACTCCATGTTTTTCTGGGGTTATGAATTTCCTAACAAAGGCACTCAGTTATAATAGTAGACTCTGTTGATGATTTATTTGTACAGTTCCTATTAGGCAAACATCTAAAGTGGTCACTGCCAAAACAAAAGTTGTCAATGCAGTCCCGTTTCACATTCTATTTGAAGGGATTTTTGAATTTATACTTTTCCTTGCAAAATAATCAAATGTTGAGCACTAGATGTTTTGTTTCCCAATGATGCTCTTGAGCCTCCTCCATGGCTCAGCATGGGTTTCCAGTGTGAATTTTTGATCCTATTCAGATGAGTCTCCTGATTGATTTTCTTCTCCATTTCTCCCAGGAACCAGGCAATCACCTACTCCGAAAATTTACTCATCTGTCTAGATCACTTCAGGGTTTGGAAATCACTTCACGAGAGCAAGCTGAACTCAGTGGTTACTACCATGCCACATGGTGGAACTTTTATCTATGAACATATATTCTCTTCAGTTCAGGAATAGACTTCCAGTCATGATCTGTAAGACTCACTAAGCAACATTTTTATCCAAAAATAACCTATGGCAACTAAATTATGGTGCCACATTGGACAATAGCAATAGAAAATCTATAGGGTTTGCTGTTGAAAAGTCCATTAATCTATGAGTTTTTCCTTAAGAGGCTTGATTTATCTCCCAGTAGCAACAAGAATTTTTAATAGGCAGGGACATACTAGTTATGCTGGAATGCATTTCTCTTAGACATTTATTAAATCTGTTGGAGATCTAACGCTGGGATATTGCTTTTAAGAGTGATTGCCTAGCATGCACGACGCCCTGGGTCTGAGCTCCAGAACCACACAGACATGGACATGACAGCCAACAACTATCTCATCACTCACAGGTGAAGACAAGAGGGCCAGGAGGTCCCTCTCCCTTACACCCTGAGTTCAAGGTTATTCCTGAGTTCCGGCCTCAAGACCAACCAACCAGTTTATTGAAGGTTTAACAAAGAAAGGAGACAGCGTGACTCTGCTTCCTCTGGTGGGTGATGCATGCCAGGAATCATAACATGCCAGGCTAAGCTGAGAGGTCCCTAAACACGGATCTCCTTCCCCACCTTCCAACAGCCTCATCTCCAGACCCACCGGTGAGATTGTCCCTTGGAAGGGAAACCCACACATTGCCTCTCTCCCTTCCTTGTGAGGGCTGGGAGATGAAGCTGGACCTGCTTGACTTGAGCTCCTTTGAGGCCGTGGTTTATTTTGGAGACAGGCTAAGCTGTAAACATTTTTCAGTCTCTGTTTTTATTACTTGGCTAAAATATAGAATAATTAACACCTCCATGAAAGTGTTGAGTAGGGAATGAATAGGTACTCACCTATTGTAAATTAGGTCTCTAAGAAATTGGAATGCCCACATCTAATTTTTAGAGTGTATATTTAGGTTTTAGAAATCAGTGTTTATTCCCTGTACCTGCCCTTAGGTGATGTACATTAAATAAATATGTTAATGGTTGGGGAGGGGAGATGAAGGATTCTGAAAAATGGTGCTCTTTCTCCTTCTCCCAGCCACCTAAGTTCCTAACTCATAGACATTTCCAGGATTTAAACATTATTAGCATGGGGCCAGGTGGAATGAAGGGAGGGTTCATTAGTTAGTCTAATTATTTAGGAACTGTGTTTTATAAATAAGACCCAGGTCCACTAAAACAGGAAAAATATGCATTACTCACAGTTCTTGCTGAAAGCTGGGAAGAAAAGTGTGCAATATTTCAGGACTTGTCCCTTCACTGGAGTGAGGTCTCAACTATGCTGTAGAGAGCATTGAGAGTACTGGGTAAAGGTGGCCTCCATTCCCCCATACCATCTGTATCACTAGACACTTCCATAAGCACTGTTAAGATAAAATATACTTATGTGCCTATCACTTTTATTTGATTAGTTTTCCCCTTCAAAATAATCTATTTCTTTCTGGGTATCTTTTCTACCTGTTGCTTTGAGAATACAGGATGATGAAAGAAAAGCCATTCACAGAAGATTAAAAACATCACTTATTATGAAATTTAATTTTCCATGATTAAATACAATTCAGAAAGAAGGTAGCGCCGCCATGAGTTGTTTTGTTGATGTTTGCCCAGGCTGGAGCTGGAGACAGCTGAGAGGGCCTCAACATGAGCTCTGAGAGGATGTGGGCTAAGGGATTCCGTGTTTAGACAGATGGCTTCACACAGTGTGTCCAGCCAGAGAAAGCAAGAGTCTGCCTGAAGCAGTGGGCCATGGGGGAGCAAGTGGAGACTTTTGCACCAAGTGTGTGAGGTCATTGGGAGAGCCGAGTCAAAAGACAGAATTCTCGGTCATCTTCGACCACAGAGAGTCACTAGGAAGGAAGCATCGTTCCAGTCATCGGTTGGATAAATGGCTTATTTTTCTTTAAAGACAAGTATTTATGAGAATGAAGTCATGTTAAGAAGGTGTCAAAATATGAAGCAGTCATGACAGATGAGTGGGAGGAAGTGGTGAGGGGTGTTTATCCACGCACTTCCTCCCTATCTCCTGACCTCTGTGCATTCTTAGTCTAGACCTGGTTTACTGACTGGGCTGTGTTCGGCGTGTCAGAGAATGTGGTGATGGCTCACTGGTGCCTGGCACAGGATTGGGAAGAGAAAGAGCAGTGTTAGTGCTCCCTGGTGTAGAATTAACTGCTCCAGACTCCACTTTCTTCATCCTGAAGACAATGCCAGCCAGAGTTATGAGTTATTCTGAGCCTCAGGTGTAACCAGTGAGAGTATTGTTTCAGGGTTACCACGGGTACAGTAAGTTCTCTTGCTCCTAAGACCATTCTTGGAATTCAAGTAAATGAAAGCGTCCGGCTTTCTCCATTATTCAGCACAGCACTCATTGTACATTGGTATCAGGGATTATATTATTACGTTTCATTTACGTAATGCAGTGATACCTGATACAGTCTCATGGATTAGAGGCCTTTGTTACTTGACGTTTTAGAGTTTAGTCTCAAACACAGACACTGCATAACTTATAGGAAAGGAAAATACACACTTTAAAATGTCTTGAAGACATGTATCTATATGTATATATATATGTATATATATATATATATATAATTTTTAATATGGAAAGTGTGATGCAGACTCAAGTAGCCAAAAATCATACTTTAAGCAGCTGCATCAGTGAAAAAAAATCTCCACAATAACAAGCTGGAAGGATCTTTGAGACTTCTCTAACTTCCCAACTACCCCTGTGTTCACTCAGGTCCTTCTGTGGGCAACTTTCAGACTTGTTTTGCAGTTCTGTTATTAAATGCTCCAGTGCAGATCTCATGCTCAATGGGTGATCTGCTCGAGGGCAGGTCCAAGTTTTGTGGGACCTGACCCTTATAATTAGGGCTTCCTTTGAAAGAAAATGGATTTTCAAAGCCTCTTAAGTTTTCATATTTTACATAAACCTAGATATCTAACACACTATGAAAACCTTCACAGAAGTTCTGGAAGAAATTTGCAAAAAAGGAGGAACTCAGAGATGTCAATTTTGCCATTTTTTTAAAATATTTTTTATTTTTAGCAGTCAGTTGTTTCAACTAACTTTTTAATCCTGTTAAAGTTAAGGAAACAGCTCCCGTCTGGGCGTGACCTCAGGTCAGAAAGAAATTCAGTGAAGTTTGGCTTCATCTATCACACTCTTTGGGGATAAGAATCCAAATATCAAAAACATACCAGTGGGTAAATGTTTAAAGTTTGCTTTCAAAACAATACACGCTCACCTCTGAAACAGACCCTCATAAACATGCGTGTATACAAGAACAATAGAAAGTAGTTTTCAGTGATAAGATGTCCTGGTCTCTGGAAATGTTAAACTGTGTCACTCACCTTTCCTCGTGTCTACCCTTCTTCCCCCTTCACCTTCCTCCCTCCTCCCTCCTCTCTCTTCCCTCCTTCTTCCTCCCTCCTCCCTCTTCCCTCCTTCTTCCTCCTTTCCCCTCCCTCCTCTTTCCTCCCTCCTCCCCTCTCCCTCCTCCCTCTTCCCTTCCCTCCCCCCTCTCCCTCCTCCCTTCCCCCTCCTTCCTCCTCCCTCCTCCTAGTCAGTCTTCTCTTTATTTTCCCTTTTCAATCTTGTCCTCCCCACCCAATGCAGCGTTCTTCCTGTTTCCTCCACTTTCTACCATTTTCTCTTCTTTCTTCTTCTGACCACATATTAAAATTTCCAAAATATCGCCGGGCGGTGGTGGCGCACGCCTTTAATCCCAGCACTCGGGAGGCAGAGGCAGGCGGATCTCTGTGAGTTCGAGGCCAGCCTGGACTACCAACTGAGTTCCAGGAGAGGCGCAAAGCTACACAGAGAAACCCTGTCTCGAAAAACCAAAAAAAAAAAAAAAAAAAAAAAATTTCCAAAATATCACCGCTAAAGTGCTGACCACAGTAAACAGTTAGGTCCATTACTCCTGTACATCCCATTCTTATAATAGTTATAATTTTTATATTTCATTTTTATTTTATGTGTGTGCGTGTTTGCCTACATGCCTGTGTGCCCACAGAGACCAGAAGAGGGCGTCATATCCCCTGGGACTAGAGTTACAGATGCTTGGGAGCTGCCATGTGGATGCTGGAAATCAAACCTGGATCCTCTATAAGAGAAGAAAACACACTTAATGGCTGAGCTTCCGAGTCCTGATGCTTAACAATTTTTAAAGACTACTGGGCAAATCTGTATTTATTGTGACTTCATACAA